GCATTTCTCTCCCTCTAAACACGGCGTGTCAAGTTAATGCCAAAGAGCTCAATTTTGGTCTCATCTGACCACAGCACTTTCTCCCAAGCCTTCTCTGAATCATTTAGATGTTTATTGGCAAACTTTAAATGGGCCTGTACATGTGCCTTCTTGAGCAGGGGGACCTTGCGGGCGCTGCAGGATTTCAGTCCATTGCAGCGTAGTGTGTTACCAATGTTTTGTTTGGTGACTGTTGTCCCAACTGCCTTAAGATCATTAACAAGCTCCTCCCGTGTAGTTCAGGGCTGATCCCTCACCTTTCTCATGATCATCCTTACCCCATGAGGCGAGATCTTGCACGGAGCTCCAGACCAATGCCGATTGATGGTTGTTTTGTATTTCTTTCATTATAATAAATGTACACAGCACACACACATATATTATGTAAACAAAAATATTTATTTTGAATGCGATTAATCACGATTAATCGTTTGACAGCACTAATATACATAAAATCTCGTATTTCAATTATTTTATCAAAATACAGAAAAAACTGTAATATTGTGAAATATTATTACAATTAGGGGTTTTCTATTTCAATATATTTAAAAAATATAATTTATAAAGCTGGATTTTCAGCATATATTACTCCAGTCAATGTCACATGATGCTACAGAAATCATTTTAATGTGCTAATGCAACTTATTTATTATTTTAATTTTATGTATGTATTTTATGTAATTATTGTGATTTTATTTAGTTTGGTCATGTTTTAAAGGGATAGTTCACCCAAAAATTAGAATTCTGTCATTAATTACTCACCCTCATGTCATTACAAACCCGTAAAACCTTTGTTCATCTTCGGAACTCAAATTAAGATATGTTTGATGAAATCCGAGTGCTTTCTGACCCTGCATAGACCCCAATGCTACCACGGTCAAGGCGGTATTAAGGACATCGTTAAAATAGTTTGTCTGACATCAGTAGTTTTACCGCAATTTTACGAAGACACGAGAATACTTTTTGTGCACAAAGAAAACTAAATAATGACTAATTTCATGCGTGGTGGTACTCTCGTGAATCGCAGCAGACGACGCTGAAGAGAAGAATTGTTGAATAAAGTCGTTATTTTTGTTTTCTTTGCGCACAAAAAGTATTCTCGTATTTTCGCAAAATTACAGTAGGTGTTAGTTTTGGAACGACATGAGGTTGAGTAATTAATGACAGAATTTTCATTTTTGGGTGAACTATCCCTTTAACACATTACATTTTCTCCTCAAAACTGAGAAAAATGTGGCACAGATTTATGGGACTTTTATGTGACTGATTGGCTTCTTGCTCTGTGTATTTCTGAATTTGGAAAGCCTGGTCTTATATTACGTTGGAATCCTTTCATAACTGTGCAAACATTCACATACCCGTCATTTTTAAGGTGAATAAATAGTTATTTTTCTCCTTTTCCAAAGCATTAGAATCTTCGGATATAATTTTCAAATATTAAACATTTTTGTTGATATATCCTGAGCAGGAAAGTTCCACTACATTTTTTTTGTGCTTTTGCCATGTGAGTCAGAGGGTGGAGGTACGTATGCCTTTCTCAAGGGTCAATGGATTTGACCTGTGTGGTTTAAAACTGTACTCCCTCGCTGAACTGAACTGAACTCACCTCAGCTTTATTTATTTATTTATTTTTTACAGTGAAGTAAAGCCACCCATCAGAGTCTGTGGCATCACAATGAGAGGCTTTCCACCACTTTGCCTGTTTTACTCTTGAATTCTGTTTTTAATTCACTGCGTAATCTTCAGGCTTGACTGAAAATTACATTGTTCGCTTTTAACAGCCGGTGAATGGACACATTGAAAGACATTTGAAAGCAACTTGTCTGCCGAATAGTGTCGCTGGGTTCTTTGAATTCATCTGAGCAGGAAGTGAGTGAAAGGGGAAGAGCGAATTGTAAACACTTCACCCATCCCATCCTGTGGAATATTTATTAGAGTCATTTTCCTGGTCTTGATAAATTAATGTTTTGACAGCAAATCAAACACAGGCGATAACTCCCTGTCAAAATGTCTGAGCGTAAAGTTTGAATACCAAGCTCTCGCTGCTGAGACTACATTCCTATTGCACATTTACATAATTTTGAAATCAAGGGAAATGGCGTATTCAAATTCTACCTCAAAAGTAGACAGCGCAGCCTGTGTTAGATAGAAAATAATGATCGGCTTAAACGCATAAAGGGAAAGACAGGAAGAGGCTCGTTTATCCCTACGATTGTGGTGCATTAAAGTGAAAATGTGATTGTGGTGCATTAAAGTGAAAATGATTGAAATAAGAATCAGCTGCCAAGTGAAGCCTGAAGTGGGATCAGGCTGGAGAAAAAAAAGAACAGAAGACCTCAGTCTTATTAACAAGCTTGAAATTTCATTATCCACAGTTCAGGATTAAATATTGTTATCTGTTTTCTCTAAAGGAGAATGGCGAGAGCTGTGACATAAAGAGAAGAAAAGACCCTATGATGAAGAACAAAACCTTCGCAGAGGGCTTCTTTATTTAGGTTTATCCGTCTCAAAGTGCTGCGTGGTTTATGATGAGGGCAGTTTTGTGTCGTCTCCTCACCCATAGCCCCAGCCGGCAAGAAAAACACAAGTCAGACTTAAATGATCTAATTATCCAGCCTTTGGTTTGTTTGAAGTGTAAATTGAACACACGGACATGTTTCCGATAAGATTATAAGCAAAGAGAGAATGGATTCACAGAAACGGTTACCGTAGCTGTCATTTGTCCATAATTACGGGATATTTCTGTGGAAATAAGATGTGCCTACAGTGTTTTTCCCTGACATTGTTCTCTATGTAAAGCATATTTCTGGAAATTCCCACAGTGGTATTGATGTTTGCTATAAGCATCATTTTTATCTTTATTTACTGGTGCTTCCTCAGTCAAGCATCACTATATCTTGCCCATATTTAGGGTTAGGAATATGGATTAGTATTATGTTTGTGTGTGTGTGTTTATATATATATATATATATATATATATATATATATATATATATATATAAAGACTTTAGCAAGGCAGTGGTCGTCTTGGAGGTGTGTTTGGGGTCGTTATCATGCTGGAATACTGCCCTGCGGCCCAGTCTCCGAAGGGAGGGGATCATGCTCTGCTTCAGTATGTCACAGTTAGAGATATGCCGGTATCAAATTTTCATGTTGCGATTAATTGCTAATGCTTTTATCACGGTATACGGTATTACCATGATATTGAAAGTTAGTTTATAAAAGTGCTGTCATAATACAGTATAACAGGTTTAATAACTTTTTTCTTATAACAAAAATAACTGAACATTTAAATGCAATAAAGCAATACAGAAAAATTTTTAAAGTTAAAAGTTTTACACAAATTAAAGTGCAAAAGAGCTATAAAGACCAATAGGTATCACTTTACAATAAGACCTCATTAGTTAACCTTAGTTAATGCATTAACATTCACAATAAGCAATAGCTACATTTGCTACAGAAGTTATTAATCTTTGATAAAAAAAAATACAAGTCTTAGTTTATGTTAGCTCATTAAATAACACAGTTGCAACTTTCAATTTTAACAAAACACGATTCAGAAAAAGAAAGTAGTGCAGCTGCTTTATTTACAGGGTTAATTGGTAACGGTTGCATTTAAATGAATTATTATTATTATTATTTCTGCAGTTTAGCGCCATCTGCTGTCAGAGAGTGAAAGTGCGCTTTCATCCAGAGCGTCTCTCACATGTTCCGCCATGTGCTTCTCCTCCGTGCTTATTTACATCAGAGTGCGCACGCATCTTTCACGCAGCATACAGCGGTGTTGTGCATTTTGACCAGTTGATGGGAAAAGTATTCTTAAAATGCATTCAAAATTCGGATTAATTTGTAATATATAATTATTCACGGTATTTAGAAGTGCCCACGATAACAATATCGTGCATATTGCAGCAATGCTGGCAGCACTCATTCGTCTATTTCCCAAACATAACCTCTGGGTATGACGCTGAGCACGTGCACTCAACTTCTTTGGTCCACCATGGCGAGGCCTGTTCTGAGTGGAACCTGTCCTGTTAAACCACTGTATGGTCTTGGCCACCGTGCTGCAGCTCAGTTTCAGTGTCTTGGCAATATTCTTATAGCCTACACCATCTTTATGTAGAGCAACAATTCTTTTTTTCAGATACTCAGAGAGTTTTTTGTTTGTTTGTTTTTTATATTACAATTTTTCATTGTATGTTTTTATCTGTTATTTATCTAAAATAAAAAATAAATTTAATATAATTTTCTAATCTTTTAATTTTAGATTTTAAAATATATATTTACATTTAAAATAGCTATTTATTTTTATTTTATTTAATATCTCAATATAATATGGAATAAACATTTTTTTTTTTTAATTAACCAGAAGTGCTATTTTTGCCTGTTTTATGATAAAACAGCCAAAACAAATTCTGAAGACTCCATATCTCATAACTCGTCTTGGAGCTCTTTTGATCTGGGGCAGTAAGCAACCACTCAAAACATCCTAGCAACCACAAACAACATGTTAAAACTACTCTGAACACCTTAGCAAACACATAGCATTGGCTTAGCAAATTACCCACAATACCCTAGTGTCATGCTGAAGAGTTTTGCATGGGCAAGCGTTCATATTTTCTTCCAAATATGTGTGATTTTTTTTTCCTCTCTTTTTGTAGTGACTTGATAGTGAATCTTATTCCTGTGTGTGTTTTTCATGTTAATATAGATTATCTGAGAGTGGATCAGTTTCATAAAAACAGAATGTGTTGTTTGGCTCTAAACAGACCTCTCCATCTCACTCTGAGACTCTCCAGAGCTGATGACTTTAATTGAATGATATGACTCACTGGGTTAATAGCGAGACTCAATGTTGGCGCTGAAGAGCTGGAGCTGACAGAATGACGAATTATCGTGAATAATTGTGAGTGAATTATCCTGAGTTAACGCAGTCTGATTGATCTGCCCTCTGTGTGCAGGAGACAGAGATCCTTAACACCGCAGTGCTCACCGGGAAAACTGTTGCCATGCCAGTGAAGGTGGTCACTGTTGGAACCGAAGGTACTGTGACCGATGTGACAGAGTCGGTGGAATGTCGATCGACGGATGAGGACGTGGTTAAGGTGGGCAAATCATGCAGGGGTCACTAACATGAATAAACCACACATTTGTGGATGCGTATTTGCGTACTTTTGACCTTACAGACTTAAATAAAAAAAATTAACTCTTCACACTCTCAGTAGTTTAGTTTAATTAGCCAAATAACAGCCAGCTTTGCCATTTCTATCACAGTGGAATTTCCAACACATTTCAAATTATGTTTAATAACATTCTGTGGTGGAAATGATGGTGATGGAAATTGACATTCAGAATATTTATTTAGTATGCTAATGAAATTTTATATACCCTAAATGTGCGCATATGCCAACCAAATTATTCTAAATGATTTTTAAAAAGTATTTTATTAGTAATTTGTGAGATATTGTGATGTGGTGTGATTTACTGTAAAGCAAAGCAAGGAAACAAAAGCTAAAAAAACCTGCAGACACACATAAGCTCAGAATAATTTTGTGATCAAGATAACAAAAGAACTGTTGAGGGAACACATAGTGTATTAAGATAGCTATATTAGATTTGATTTAAAGCGCTATACATTCAACCGCTCTGAAGTAATGTCTATTTTCTGTTGTCAAGCCAGAGGCGAAAAATCAAAGGGATGTTAAATGCAGTCTTTTCAGAACAAGCTTGTGCCTTCCACTTCCATCTGCCATTTGGGAACAAAATATGAGAGCATTTTATGAGGGAGAAAATGACAATATGTGTGTATATGTGTGTATTTACTCCCTTCGGGTTTAATTATCTGATGAACACCCCACACTGAAACACTGACCTCTGGAGAGGAATCCCCCCCTTCCTCCCCACCAAAGCTGACACACACACTCACGCACACAGGCACTGTGACCTGGATTCAGAGCATCTGAATACACTATGCCATTATTTTTGTCTACATTGACTTTTTGAGCACTGTAGATTTTGTATATTTTATTCAAATACAATGCATTGCATAGCATCCCTTTGTATTGTCTATATTAATAATCCGTGGCAGTGCATGTACCAGTTGATGTCACTTTCATATTTCTAAATATAATTCTCTACATACTGCCGTTCAACCTGGGTTATTGTCTAACCCTGCACTGTAAAACATTTCCCTGTAAAAAAAAACGGTAATTTACTGGCAGCTGTAGTTTCCATCATCATACTGTAAAAATACAGTGTGCTACTGTTTTTTTTAAATTAACAGTAAAATGCCATTTGTCATCTACAGCATACTACTGTAATTTAGCAGCATATATCTGTTCAATTACATACTAATAACCAGTGGTGGAAAGAGTACTGAAAAAATATACTCAAGTAAAATACCATTACCTTCCAAAAAATGTAGTGCGAGTAGAGTAAAAGTACTTGTCCAAAAAAACTACTTGAGTAAGAGTAAAAGAGTAGCCTATTTAAAAGTACTCGTGAGTACTGTGTAGTGAGTACTGAGCTGTGGATTCTACTCCCTCATAATAAACACTGTACACCGCAATTTATACATTTGAAAAACGTTGTACATTCTGTAATTCACATTATCTTATTTGTCATAAAGAATGAAGAATATCTATCATCAAGCAGTTTTAATTTTGACTGCCAACTCTTTAAAATACATCAAAACAGTATTCAGTTGAAGAAAAGATGAGTTATTCTCAGTACAATCATCCCCATTTAAATAAAAAAAGTTTGAAAAAATAGATTTAAAAACATGTGTAAAGGCCACTGAGACAGCATGCTGTTGAAGCACATAAAATATGAATATTTAGAACAGTGCAAATACAAACACCATTAGAACTCATAGTTCAGCATCACACACCATGATATGGGTTAAAATGAGAGCCCATTTCTCTCCAAAACGGTGCCAGTTTTAGCGTTTTGCAATAAAGAAATAAAAATAACTAAACTTGATAATTTGTTACAATTTTAACATAAATGCACATTGTTCTAGAAGGATGTCATCATGCCATACCTTTTACAGATTTACTCGAATTGTTATGCTGATAATACAATTTGTAAGGAAAAATGCATTAAATAGCGAAGTATTTCTGCGGAAACACACACACACACGCATGTCTCTTTGCTGAGCCGCGCGTCTCGGTGAATCAGCAGCATCCACAACTGAACGGAACAAAAAGTGTTGAACTTGAAAATTGTTTATGGGCGAGTGCACTTGCTAAATGAAGGCGGATTGTATAAAATGGATTTTA